GTTGTTTATTTTTAAGCTGAGGAAATATATCTTAAGCCGATATGATTTTTTCATGACATAATGGTTCGTACATTATCGTGTTTGAGTTTGGTCTGGTTCACGCAATGTGATTAGCTCTATTCTTATAAAAAAGAAGATGAGGTATGATTGCCAATGAGACAACTCCCCACAAGAGACCAAATGACACAGAAATTAACAACTATATGTCACCGTACGGCCTTCAACAATGAGCAAAGCCCATACTGCATTTTCAGCTATAAAAGGCCCCGAAATGACAAATGTAAAACAATTCAAACGAGAAAACTAACGGCATAATTTTTGGACAAAAAATGAACGAAAAACAAATACTAGTATGTAACACATTAACAAACGACAACCACTAAATTACAGGCTCCTGACTTGGGATAGGCACTTTCATACAGAATGTGGCGGGGTTAAACATGTTAGCGGGATCCCAATCCTCCACCTAACCTGGGACAGTGGTGTAACAGTACAACATAAGAACGAACTATAAAAATCAGTTGAAAAAGGCTTAACTCATCAGATGAATACAAATAGAAATACATCTAACAAAAACACAGAGTGGACGTGGCCAGGTACTTGTATATCCCAACAACAAAAACACACTAAGTACTGATCTGAGAGTACTCGCAGTTACTAACAGCTAGTTCAAAGCCAATAACAACTAATAAAAAAATCATGCATCTAAGACTAAATAATTGTTTCAAAATGTATCGATAAAGACGAACAAACATATGTTTCTAACTAGTATTTTATTTTGATGGCAGGTGGTACAATTGACATAACTGTACAAGAAATCAAACCAGATGGGAATATTAAACAGATTTATATGGCAAATGGCGGTGATTGGGGCGGAGTAAAAGTCGACCAAGCTTTTGAAGAATTCCTGACGGATATTGTAGGAATGGAGACTATGGAAGAGTTCCGAAAGGAAGATAAAGAAGAATACTTGAGCCTTTGCAGGGAATTTGAAATGAAAAAGCGGGATATTCGTCCAGCCGGCAAAGCAAGGTTTACAATACGTATACCAGTAATTTTAAGCGAGAGGTTACGGGACGTTAAAGGAATGTCTTTGGAAGTTATATCAAGATCTAACAAATCGATAGTATGGGTTGGTGACAAATTACGTCTCGATTCGGAAACTGCTAAATCCTTCTTTACTAAGGCTTCCAGACAAATAATTGACCATATGAGTGGCATCATTGAAGAATCAACAGTCGTAGGTACGGAAGCTATAGTGATGGTTGGAGATTTCTCAGAATCTCCAATGCTTCAGGAGGCAATAAAGACAGCATTTCCAAACATGACTGTGATAATACCAGACGAAGCTGGTGTGGCGGTACTGAAAGGTGCTGTTCAGTTCGGTTTCAATCCACAAGTAATCAGCCCTCGCATCGGTCGATTTACATATGGAGTAAGTACAAACAAACGCTTCCGTCCCCATACAGACCCAGAAGATAAAAAGCAAATCGTAAATGGTGTAATGTATTGCCGCAAGAGATTCGGAAAACATGTTGAGAGGGGTCAATCAATTGAACAAGGGGAAGTTAGCGAACAAAAAACATACAACCCCCTGACAGCTGACCAGAACCGAATTATACTGCCTATTTATGTTTCACTATCACTAGATCCCCAGTATGTCGATGAAAAAGACTGTACATACCTCGGTGATCTTGAGGTAGATATGTCAGATATTCAGGGAGGCTGTGAACGGGAAGTCGTGGTAGGGATGAGATTTGGAGGGCCCGATATTGCTGTTGAGGCCATTGTGAAATCCACCGGCGAAATTGTTAATGCCCGTTTCAACTGCTTGCGTTAATTACGCGTAATGAATGATTTTCCTTTTTTTAACACAACACTGCACTATATATTATACTGTCTAACAAAACACTTCTCTACATGATATTAATTATATTATTTAAATATATTCTTCTGGTTGGGCGTTGTGATTTGAAAGACCAAACAATAGGCACTACACTGCACTACAACATCGTAGCAGAGAGTCTGCTTAACTGTATATTGTTTTGCTGAAGCACTCCATTATTCTCTTTTTCTTTATTTTTTGTCCTCTATTTCTCTATTTTATTTTATTTTTGGTCCATTTTTCTGTAGATTTTGCTCATTTCTATGTATTCTGTAAACCCCATCCAGACACGGATAGCACTTCAACACATTTTAACCCATTGGCATGCCACTGTCCCAGAAAGGATGAGGTTATGAAACAAGCGTCTGGCGTAATAAATTATAAGCCTGGTACCTTTGATAACTATTAGTAATATAAATCTTGTTTAACCGTGTTCCATGTATAAAGTTGAATAACAAAAATACCGAACTCAGAGGAAAATTGAAAGCGGAAAGTGCCGTATCAAATGGCAAAAACAAAATCTTCAACATATCAAATGTATTGAATGGAAAACAACTGTCACATTTCTGGCTTAGTATAGGCATTTCCTTGGGTGGGAAATTACATATTGTGGCTAGCCCTAAGCAAGAAAATTTCTAAATGTTTATTTAGTTCTGTCTTCGTTTTATGATGGAGAAAGCTTGAATAACGTATTATGAAAAGCTGATTCACTATTGACTACCTTATTACTCCTGCTTAAAAATCCGATAATTAGCGTTCGCTTACGTGTAGACTAAGATAAGCAGATGATTCGCGTCTTCAAGTCATATTTCTGAATATCATTTGGTTGTTTTAATTCATCACAAAGACTCAATAGAAACCTACTGGATAAATACTTAAATATAAATGCAGATATTTTAAAAACGCATTCTATCTCTGTAATCTGACATGCCACTTTGTAGACGAAACGCGCGTCTGTCGTACACAATTTTAATCCTGGTATCTATGTGTTTATTTACCTATATAAAACAGTAATGCTTGCTTTATATAGTTCATGATGCCCTTAACCCTTATACTGTTTTCAATCAAAATATGTGTTAAACAAACAACATTAGATCAAATGATACATATACATTGAGTAACCTCTTCTCCACTTTAGAAAATACTGCCTTTGACTTAGAAGGTTATACAAGCGAGGGGGCCATGTAAAAAAAAAAACAATAAAAGAGAGATAACTCCTAAAGGGGATGATGAAATCCTTAACGGGTTTATCTGGTAATACTTCATGACGAGGTCTATCGATGTTCCATATTTGGTCTTGATAACTTCAACAGAAACGGGAGAAGGGTATGTCAAAAAAATGTTGGAAGAAAAAAAACATTAGAAAAACAATAAGGTCGTGGAAAACCCAATACCTATTACTGTATTTTATTAACATTTTGGTGATTATCGATGAGTATGTCTGTATAAATTAATGTTGTTAGCATCAGGGTCAGATTAACTTGAGGGATTTTGAATTTGTCGTCAGTTTTAGTTGATTGAAGTGATATTCGTCGGAAAAAGTGGCATAACTCAGATCTAGTATGTGTTAAATTTCAACCTTTAAAACTTATTTTGTTCGAATATCTGTAATTTTCGATAAAATAGTTTTCTTGGCTAGCTAATTTATACACATTTTATAACGTGTTGTTTTCATTTTTGACCGAAACCGAAATTCGGTTGAGAGTAAAAATGTATATTGTCTCTCGGATACAAATTGATTCATTTTGGTTGGTGTATACTTATCTATGCCTCGATGAAAAAGTTAACCAAAACACATTATGCTGTCGGGATTTTAATATGACATGTCACATTGGTTTTTTTAAGAACTTTTTTGAAAATGAGTGCAGAGAAATAACACTGTAAATTGGCCCATTAGCTATATAATTAATATAATGCTTCGTTGAGCGCAGACTGATACGACCGCAGAGGTTGAACCCTGAACAGTTTGGGCAAGTTTGGACACAATATTCAAGCTTGATACTGTCTGAATTTGGATTGAGATCAACCTTTTGACATAATATCGGTTTCTGACACAAAATAAATGTGGTCAAAGATCTTAAAAATCTATTGCGCAATACTGTGCAATTGAAGATTTCTTCTTGAAACTTTTCAAAACATTTGAAATTTTTAAAATTTTGAACAAAAAAAAAATGAACCCCCCAAAAAAATTGGAAAAAAAATTCCCCGAAACTTTTTGAACCCACCTCCCCTTAGATAAATAACCCCCAAACTCAATCACAGCCTTCCCGTTGTGGTATGGAACTTTGTAGTACAATTTTAGAGATCCATACACTTAAACACAAGTTATTGTCTGGAAACTAGAATAATGCTTGTTTGAGCCCCCTTTTTCTGCATGTTTGGGGCAATTATGCCTAAACTCCACCAAGCCTTCCCTTTGTGATATGGAACCTCAATTTCAGAGAGATCCATACACTTGCACACAAGTTATTGTCTGGAAACTACAAAAATGCTTGTTTTTGTCCTTAATTCCTAAACTGGTGGTACAATAACCCCAAAAATCAATCCCAACCTTCCTTTTGTGGTATTGAACCTTCTTGTAAAATTTCATGAAGATTCACTTTAACTAAAGTTATTGTCTGGAAACCAAATGTGTCTTTGGACGACGACGCCCACGATAACATCATAGCATTATACAAATCCAAAAAAAATTTTGAGGTCGTATAAAAATGGGATGACTTATTTTTCTTTACTGATTGTATATCATTTGTTTTCTATTTGCATCCTATAATATCTCCTTTAATATGAAGAAGTGTATTGGACTTGCATTTACTTATCATTCCCACTATAAAAATACATAGAAAAAAAACCCACAAAAAATTGATATTGAATACGAATAACATGATCATTTTTAAACAACCGAATTTTTGATCAACCTTACAAAAATGAAGAGAGCAAAAGACAAGGTTTCTAACCAGTGTCCAGCGGATGACATTGATGTATTGTAAAGAAAGTTTACATCAAACGTGTTCTTATTCTTGAATCATGGTGTTAGGAGGCAAAGATTTGTTTTTAAAACTCGGAAACATGATGCATAATGTCCATTTCCTTTATTGGATTATGAGCATACATTTTAAAACAATCGTATTTCTCTTTTGCTCTTTATGACTGTTGTATAAATATGCATAAATGGGATATGAAAACAAAAATTAAGAATGACATCAAACTGATCAAAATACTTGATAATGGTAGGTCTTAGAATAAAGACGAAGCTTATCTTTATAGACAAGCAATGAGGCAATTAATTATAGCATGATTTATATGATGTGAAGATTTACCAACAATGAACATTCTATAACATTGTAGACTAGAATATATAAGTCATGACAAACATTTCTTTTATTTTAAGTAAACTTGAATTGCTGATAATTTGTATGTTTTACCATTTCTCTCTATCTTCAATAGCTTATGAATGAATGAATGAATATGTTGACTCTATAGTAGATCCTTTTCTTTTAGATCTTTTCCACTATTCAATCTCTATCTATTACAGTTTTCAAGATAAAAGGCAATTTTATTTTGGCTTTTTTTTTTTTTAAACAATATTTATCTTTTATATGTTTCAAGCTAGACAAAAACGCAAAATATGATAAAAATCATCATTTAAGGACAATATCTATGTAAAGCTGACTGACGATTTCTGCCATGTTGGATAATTTATAGATCTTTTCTTGCTGATTATTTTTCCTATTGAAGTTTTTCGCTATTTGTTATATTAGCAAAAATGAAAAAGAAATTGGTATTTGCCATTTAAGTTAAAAAAAACTCATATAAGAAGTAGTCTGACATATCGGATGTAAATAGACAACATTATGAAAATGTCTGCACTGTAAGATTTTCTCTATCTATAGCAGTTTTCAAGATAATAGACAAAAATTGTATTTGACCATTATTTCTTTCTTAAGCCATGTTAGTGGGCACAATCATGAGACACATTTATTACACAAGATACACAAAAAATGATTGCTGTCAAGTTTGATTCTAATTGGTCCAATAATTTCAGAAAATATTCTTTTTAAGGTTAGCCATTTGGACAAGATGAGAAAAAAAAAACCAAAAGCAATCTTTTCTGAGTTTCGATTTTATTACAATATCTGTATACTTTAGAATATCTTTGAAGACAAATATACATAAAATACCGGTAACATTTATCACAGTGTATATCACAAATATCTCGGTAGTGTGAGTCAATCAGAAAAAAGTTTTCAACCTTTTAAATGTAATTTTGGTAGCTTATACACACAATTATTATATTGTTTATCCTGCATTATGTACTATATAAAAACATCAGACTGAAGAAGATGAAACAATATTATCAAATTTTCAAACCATCTATAAATAGACAACTGGGCATATCATCCCAGTAAATAATTTATTGATTCAGTTCTCTCTACTGTAATTTGTTGAATTTCAAGGGCACCTTACTTTGTCAATACTCAGTGGCGGATCCAGAAGGGGGGGGGGGGGGGGGGGGGGGGGGGGGGGGGGGGTTTCCAGGGGTTGGAACCCCCCTTTTTTATGGACGATCATTGAATTTGAATGGGGACATATAGTTGGAACACCCATCCCCCACCCCCCCCCCCCCCCCCCCCCCCCCCCCCCCCCCCCCCCTTTTATCCTGGGTTGGGAACACCCTCTTTAAAAAACGGCTGAATCCTACCCCGATACAGTAATTAAAACAAAGGTTGATATATAAATGTAAATTTTGACATTAAGCCTATTCTGGCCAACTTCACAGTGATTGAATTTAACATTTTTCATCTTAATTTGATGAAGTCAAATTAGGAAAGATCAAACTTTTCCATATTCACATTATTTTTCTGATAGCAAAAGTCGAGAAAAATATTACTCATGATTACTTATTCTGAAAAATATTTTCAAATGTTAATAGTGTTTCAATTATAATCAGATCAAAATAGCAATGTGATCAAAATGCTCAGCCTATATAAGCAATTGTTAAATTTAATATTCAAAGTATGTGGGAGATAAGTTGAAAGGGCTTTAAAAACCTGAAAACCTTTCTGGATATAACACTATGATCTACATGTATCTTTGTAGGGATTGACATTTGAGGAGAAAACAATCATAAATACACTCATGATGATAAAACTATACAAATATATATCATAACAGTATGTACATAATTCACAAGATATGTTTATGTTGTAATTTGTGATACATAATTAACATTTTTATAAAATGATCAACAGTATATGAAAAAAAAGAAATTTGATTGCAACGATATACTCTACTCTATTCTATGAAATTTAGAAATCAAATGATATTATAGCGCTATTTTGGCCTCGGTCTAATTTTCATCGCTTGATTATCCGTATTCTAATTGTCTTTTATACTACTAATTAGATGTTTACTGACCTTGAATTCCCATCAGGGTCTTGCAGGGTCAGTGATTGTTTCGTCATTTTTCCTTTTCTATCATTTACTTTTTCTAACTTGTAAGGAAAACTTTTGGACTTTTGGAACTTCAATGTCAACAGGAATAGAATTAGTTGTGATGTCAACGAGATAGACACTCAATGACATAAATAACAAAAAGACATCTATATGCCTATTCAATATGTGAACTTTTATCTGATTTCTTACACACTTTACCAAAGATAAGTCATCCTGATTGGTTCATAGGAAATAATATTAAACATAATAATCACTATTAAAAAATGGTACTCATGTTTATATGTAACATATCAAATGATTAAAAATGTATATACATATAAGATTTTTTTTGTCAAATATCAAATGGTAATGAAAATGATCATACTATAATATTAAACAAATATATTTTTATAAAGTTAAGAAAATGTGGTCCCTTTCATAGTGTGTATATCTGGATTAAACATCCAACATAAAAGGAGGTAAATATCCAGGTTTTAGTTATAAATATTGCTGTAGTTATAAACAAGGATAGAACCTCCTGTATTTAATTAAAAATTAACCGAATTAGAAGTGTGATTTAAGGAAAACAACTTTTTAAAATAAAACTACACTGGATTTAGTGAACTACTGATTTCAATTTACATAAAAATAACAAATAAGCACCAGAAACAAACATATGTGAAAATAATCTTAATACAGTAAATATTACATGTTTACTCAATCTTTAATTTCAGTCGAAGTACACATTATTTTTGTTTTTTGGTTATGCCTGTAACAATAATGAAAATGAAAATAATATATATAGAATATAAAGTATCTTATATTAGCACTAGTTTTGCACATGTATATAGTGGTCTGTTATTTATTCAAGAAATTTTACAACTTTGTGTTTTGATCCGAGTCTTCTTCATCTTCATTGTTTTCCAACAAACTGGTGTGATCTACTGATTGTGGTTTACGTTTTCCACTGAGTCGAGATAGTAAGCTCCCTTGCATACTTCCTTCTCGACTGGTTCCCTCATAGCCTATACCTCTCTGTACTGATATTTCAAGTGACTGGTCCTTGACAAATTGCATATGATATTCCTGTGTCAGCAATTTCTCTTTCTTTGGCTTCTTAAACCTATAAACATAAAGTAAAAGCAAAAGTGTAATATCACATCTATATTTAAAAAATAAACCATTTGTGAAAATAAAAAGTTATAAAAGGGGGAGATAACATAAATGAACATCGTCACATTTTGTGATTCAAATGAGACATGAAATCACAAATTTGGCCAAATAATGTATTCCTTCACCTTAACTAATTTGATTTGAAGTCTTTTACCTCATATTTTAATTACCGTCTTTAGGTGTGTATAGTACACAGATTTTGACCTTGGGATAGATTTCTGAGAAGGGGCGTATTATGCTTGCATACATTGATTTTTAGACTTTTTTTCGGGTATGAAACTCAGCCATGAAACCAGGTGGTCAAGAAGAAAATATTTTTGTAGCAAAACAAATTGTTTGTTGTTATGTTTAAAATGTATATTTGTACCTTCTAGTATATGATTTGTAATGTTATATGCAAATAACCAAATGCTTTTGTAGTTATGTTTTTTGTGTTTTTAGTGTCTGTTCTATATTGCCACCCGGAAGCTGTATTTGGTCATATCCGAATTAGAGATGATTTTGTCAATGACCAAATAAGTGTAGGTGATTCTCGAGTTTATAACTTACTTTTGATATGTTCTAACAGAAGGTGAATGTATGAAAATTGAATGAAACACACCCGTTTGATAATAGTGACCGCCATTGTTTTTTTACTTTCGTAGTATCAGATGATCACATGTTATGTGACTTTAGCATTATGAAGTGAATAAAGTGATGATTTTATACGTTTTTACTTTGAGACGTTTAAAAATCCTCTTTAAAAACATTCATACAAATCATAAATTGTGAGCATGTTTTTAAAATGCCATTTAATACCTGTACTAATTTGATTGAGGAACAAAGTGAACCTGTCAATTGATTTGTTTTGACAACGATTAGACTTCGTAATTGATTATCAATAATAATAATCAATGAGTACCAACAAACAATAAATGAAATTAGCAGAGATTAATATTGATTTTAGCACTAATTTATCAACATAAATATTACAATTTATTTATTTATTGTGTATTAAAGAATATTCGTAATGAATCCCTATTCCGTACAAGATTCACTGACTATGATTTGCATTTAAGCAACTTCCCGATTCAACATTTCCTGTTGTTCTCAGTCAAACACATCTGTGGAAACAATAAAGAATCAAACATCCTTTGCTAGATTATTTATTCTCCAACAAAATTTTCGTTATCCTGTAATCAACCAGGACTGCAGTTCAATTTGTCCCCGAAAAAGAAATTATTTTCAATGGACCCATTTTACCGAGTTTCAAGTTTGGATTTTTCCAGAAAGTCCCTGCGTTTAAAGCATAAGAAACTTTTTTTCTCAAGTTTCAAGGGTGAAAAGGGGGGTGCTTATTATGCATGGGTGCCTTTTATACATACCAAAAGATGGTATAACTTAGTTATTATATTCATTTCTAAAGCAGTATAACTGTACATGTGTACCTTGTTAATCCTTAAATATTTTAGCAATAAAAATGATGCAGACTTTTACAGAGAAGTAATGGTTAAAACTTACAATTTAAGGAGCAGTGATGATGTCACAACAGAGACAGAGGACATTGCCATGGCAGCAGATGCCATCCAAGGTTTCAAAGTCAAACCAAGTGGTGAAAACACACCTGTAAACGAAGACATAAAACAAGTATTATAAGACTATACATGTACATGTAGATATTATAAATTAATGTTAAAAGATAAAGATCAGGTTAAGAAAAGCTTACCGATAGTTGCCACAACAGTTTGAATTTTGCCTTCGAGATGAAAATTCAAGTTCAAAAGAGGGAAATAACAGCAGGTAACACATAGCTTTATGTTAATAAACCTACTTCTCTAATGGTTGTGGCCTGTTATCTATTTCTTGCATGACTAAATATTTCTCGAATCACACTGCATGGAGTTTGATACAAAAATCTGCTTTAATCTGATTGGCTTATCCAGCATCACAAGACAATATTACAGTATTTCCATTGGCTATTCATTAGGTCATTGATGACTTTCAAAGGTTAAGACGATGTACATTTCGTCCATGGCAATGGACATATGTGATTTCTTCAATAATATACAAAACACTCAATTATTTCACCTGACAATCTTCTTTTTGTCAAATTTTATTACATTCTGAAGCGTACAAAAAGTCTAAAAATGTCTGATGTTAAAGTTTGACACCGGAAATGGACATATGACATGACTTCATTCTGGAATGTGCAAAAGACTAGATCAAAATTTTTTGGAATTTTTAATTTAACACATTAAGAGTGTTGACTATATGAGAAATAGGTTTAACAACTTGTGAAATTGGATATCGCTTGATATCAACTCTTGTTATTTAATTTAAATGATAATAATAAACTCGCAAAAGGGTCGTTCAATATTATATTAAAATTAAATAACGAGAGTTGATATCAAGCGATATCCCATTCTTACTCGTTATGAAACCTATAAATCCAACATATCATAATTTTACATCAAAAGAAAACAGTCTCAGATTTTATCAAGCTGGCTTGTACAAACAAGAGGCTCCAAAGAGCCTGAATTGCTCACCTGGTAAAAAATATGCCATTCTGATATTTATTATTTTTCCTTTATTGCAACCAGTTTAATGGCAATTAATCATATTACCAGTGTGACAATTTGGCCATGTTGACTCACTACAGATCTTATTTTGTTGATCATTATAGCTTTTAATTTTTTTCTCATACTCCAATAGTTTTAAACAAAAATGCAAAAATCATCATTCAGGGGAAATAACTAGAGGCTCTTAAGAGCCTGTGTCGCTCACCTGATTCTACTTTGGTTTTGGAAATCATGTAAAAATAGATTAAAATCATAACAGATACCCTATTAATGATTGAGGCCAAATTTGGTTTAATATTGGCCCTGTAATTTAATCCAAAGCAGAAAACTTTTGTAAAGTTTACAGAAATTACCAATAAATTCATTGAAATTGCAGAAAATGACTTTATAAGGACAATAACTCCAACAAGATGTCAATTGACAATTTTGCTTTGTTGACTTTATATGTGTAGATCTTCTTTTCTCGATTATTTTGCAGTTTACAGTAGATCTCAATCTATAAAGAAACATTTTCTCGTTTGAATTGTTTTACATTGTCATTTCGGGGGCTTTTATAGCTGACAGTGCGGTATGGGCTTTGCTCATTGTTGAAGGCCGTACGGTGACCTATAGTTGTTAATTTCTGTGTCATTTGGTCTCTTGTGGAGAGTTGTCTCATTGGCAATCATACCACATCTTCTTTTTTATATGTATTAAGGTCTTCATCAGCACCTCATAAGGAACATTCATGTCATGTTTTATTTCATTCCATTTAGTGGTTCTCTAAAAGAAGACATTTGTATGTATTTCCCATAGGGTCTTATGTTAAACTAAGTCCCTCTCTGGTGGCCATTTTGGATGATGGATTGGCTACAAAGTAACAACACTTGGTCAGCACCTCATAAGGAACATTCATGCCATGTTTGGTTTCATTCCTTTCAGTGGTTCTCTAAAAGAAGACATTTGTATGTATTGTCCATAGGGTCCTATGTTAAACGAAGTCCCCTGCTGGCAGCCATCTTGGATGATGGATCAGCTATAAAGTAACAACACTTGGTCAGCACCTCATAAGGAACATTCATGCCATGTTTGGTTTCATTCCATTTAGTGGTTCTCTAAAAGAAGACATTTGTATGTATTTCCCATAGGATCCTCTGTTAAACTAAGTCCCTCTCTGGCGGCCATCTTGGATGATGGATCGGCTTCAAAGTAACAACACTTGGTCAGCACCTCATAAGGAACATTCATGCCATGTTTGGTTTCATTCCATTTAGTGGTTCTCTAAAAGAAGACATTTTAAAATTGAGAATGGAAATGGGGAATTTGTCAAAGAGATAATTACCCGACCAAACAGCAGAAAACAGCTGACAGCCACCAATGGGTCTTCAACACAGCGAGAAAATCCCGCACCCGTAGGCGGGCTTCAGCTGGTCCCTTAACAAAATGTGTACTAGTTCAATGAAAATGGAAGTCACACTAAACTCCAACACATATAAATGAACTAAAATTAAAAAAACATACAAGACTAACAAAGGCCAGAGGCTCCTGACTTGGGACAGGCGCAAAAATGCGATGGGGTTAAACATGTTTTGTGAGATCTCAACCCTCCCCCTATACCTCTAGCCAATGTAGAATAAACAAACACACAATAATACGCACAGTAAAACTCAGTTCAAAAGAAGTCTGAGTCCGATGTCAGAATAGGTAACTTAAGAAACTAAGCAAAATAACAATGATACATAAATTAACAAGGGACTACTAGCAGTTACTGACATGCCAGCTCCAGACCTCGAAAGATTATGTCTTCATCATATGAAAATCAAGCACAATCCCTCCCGTTAGGGATTTAGTATTATACCATCATATAATATATGAGAAGAACATAACCCATATCATGCCAACAACTGGTTTTAGAATAAATGTGTTTATTTCCAATGCAAAGACCCTATGAGTGAATCAATATTAATACAAAAATATGCCATCTTTAATGATCTGACAACAGTATCATATCTATATCCCTTCTGAATAAGTCTGTTTAAAGGTTTGGTTAGCTTTTGAGGTGAATGTCGACATTTTTGTGCTTTGTATAGAATATTACCATAAATAAATGTGGATAGTGTCCACATGTGGACACAGATGATGCCCCCGCTTGCATATCATATAGTTATAAAGGGGCATAACTGAAGAACGGTAAAAGTGACGCTACCCAAATTTGAACTTGATCTGAGTCTTGTGGTAATAAGCATTGTGTGTAAGTCTCATAACATTTGGTTGAGGCTAACTTAAGAAGGGAACGGATGACGGATGCCAAGTGATGAGAAAAGCTCACATAGCCTTTACAGGAGAATCAAAATTAATCACCATGAGAACAAAATTCGGATGAAATCTGATCCCTACCTGCAGCAATAGGTATCCCTATCAGGTTGTAGACAGAAGCAGCTACAAAATTGATTCTGATTCTTCTAACTGTCATCTTGGATAATTTAATGGCAGCCACTACATCCAGTAAATCATTCTGTAATATAAATACCATTTGTACAGATCAGATTGAACTAAAAGGTTTACACACACTGTAGTCTTATGAACTGACTGATTCTGTTTTGGCCCTATGTCTTAATGACATTCAACCATAATTTTCTTATTGCCTGCATTCTTTAGTTTTATATTGATGGAAAGGCAGTCAAGTTAATCAAAACCACAACTAGGAATGTCATGAAATTTAGAGTTTCAAATCTTAACCATACACAGAGCATTATTCAAACATTTTAATGTAATTCTAAGTAATAAAATATGACAAAATATGAACTATATTGTCAAAATTTGTCTATAGTTTGATGAGGCAGAAAATATTTGCAGCTGCATGTGAGTATCCCATATTAGCCCATGGGCCAATATAGTTGTTTTCTGCATTGGTCATGGGATCAAGCTGATTGGATCACAGCATCGGTATTGCACATGCTGATCTATCGATATAAGGGCTGATTTGATCACAGCATCAGTATTTCACATGCTGATTTATCCATATAAGGGCTGATTGGATCACAGCATCAGTATTACACATGCTGATTTATCCATATAAGGGCTGATTGGATCACAGCATCAGTATTACACATGCTGATTTATCCATATAAGGGCTGATTGGATCACAGCATCAGTATTACACATGCTGATTTATCCATATAAGGGCTGATTGGATCACAGCATCAGTATTACACATGCTGATTTATCCATATAAGGGCTGATTGGATCACAGCATCAGTATTACACATGCTGATTTATCCATATAAGGGCTGATTGGATCACAGCATCAGTATTACACATGCTGATTTATCCATATAAGGGCTGATTGGATCACAGCATCAGTATTACACATGCTGATTTATCCATATAAGGGCTGATTGGATCACAGCATAGTATTACACATGCTGATTTATCTATATAAGGGCTGATTGGATCACAACATAGTATTACACATGCTGATTTATCCATATAAGTATAAAAAAGAAGATGTGGTATGATTGCCAATGAGACAATTCTCCACAAGAGACCAAATGACACAGAAATTAACAACTATAGGTCACCGTACGGCTTTCAACAATGAGAAAAACCCATAATGCACAGTCAGCTATAAAAGGCCCTGAATCAAGGGCTGATTGGATCACAGCATCAGTATTACACATGCTGATTTATCCATATAAGGGCTGATTGGATCACAGCATCGGTATTGCACATGCTGATTTATCCATATAAGAGCTGATTGGATCACAGCATCAGTATTGCATTTGCTGATTTATCCATATAAGAGCTGATTGGATCACAGCATCGGTATTGCACATGCTGATTTATCCATATAAGAGCTAATTGGATCACAGCATCAGTATTGCACATGCTGATTTATCCATATAAGAGCTGATTGGATCACAGCATCAGTATTGTACATGCTGATTTTTTTTTTCAGTCAGAGTTGATGTCACAACATGTAATTTAATGTATAATCAATAGAAATGTCAGCATTCTTTTACTTTTATGGTTTATGTACTTTATGGTCAGGGTTAGTTTATGGTTCGTTTTAGGGTTTGGGTAAGTATGGATTTTGTAAAGCTCTTTATGGATTGGTACCCCTAGCTATAGAGTAAAAGAAGACTACTATACATTAAATTTTAATAAGTTTTAATCTATTATAAAGTCATGGTCTACTACTTTAACTGTTATCATTGTAGAGTGACTGATTTAACAATTTAACAAACACTAAATCCCTGGGATGTGTTTTAGTTGATTTTAGTCTCTGATGCATGATTTTTTATTATTACCGGTAATTGTTTTTGGCTTTTAACTAGCTTTCAGTAACTGCGAGTACTCTCAATCGTACTTTCGTGTTAATTTGACCTGTTGATACAATTTGTAATGCATTTTTGTTATTTAATGTTCACTTAATAGTGTTATATCTCGTCTCACTATTTTTAATATATACCACCTTTGATAAGTGTTTGGTATGACGATAAATTTTCACCTCTGTTCTCGTACTATGAATAACAAAATTATTTATTTTGTAAAAATTATTTCCGTACTCCATATGTATACCTTACAACAAAATTATTTTTATTTACCTGTGACTCAGTGATCTCCCCAGGCCGTTTTAGCGTCGCGGCCCCGCGATGCTATAATTTTTTTTATCGTGACACTATAATAATTTCCGCGACGCTATAATTATTTTGAGGACGCTATTTTTTTCTTGTCTGCTCTATACATTGCCGCAATATCGATGTCCTAAATTTCCAACTTTCATCGAATTGCCGCTTGTGATCATAAAAATTATATCACCTTTAATTGTAATCCCTTCAAATCGGACATAAGAGGCAATTAAGATTGACTAAATAGGTGTTAATTGCCCTTTGGGTGATAACTGTTTGGATACGAATACCCCAAGCTGACACTTATGACATGACTGATAACACGTGGCCCAATTCCAAAATTTTGACATTGAGAAAATCCTAAACAATTCGAAATCTACGTTTGAATCAAGGCAAATTCGTCTCCTAAGAGAAGAAAAAAAACCCAAAAAAACGAGCGAACTTAACAGGCTGGTCGTTTGTTATTTCAAACTAACAACTTGTAAAGAAGTGTTTTCTTTCCATTCCGGTACTCGAGAGCGTACATAAAACATTTCGATTCTGGGCAAAATAAGTTCTATACTTCATTAGAACGTGATGAAAATTGCTTTAGGTAATGTTTCATCTATTTATTACAGTAAAATCGTGATATATTCATCCAATTCGCTTCTCAAACATTGTTTATTTTTCGTAAATTTTTCTTCGACCGCCATTGATATATTTGTACTAATTACGGATCGGAAGCGGACCAGCTATGATCAAAATCCGCATGTTTACGGTAATAACTACAGACGCAGAAACAGAACAGCTAACAGAATAATAATGATCCCAATAGGGAAAGCTACTCATTCCACATGAATTTACAGACTATTTGTTAGATCTCCTTGCAAAATGTATTTATTTCTATGTAAACGCATTGTTTCAATTAATTTACTGATTTAAGTAGTTTAACAATGTTAAAAACATATATCTGTTTGAAACAACTGGGACTGATACATTGAGTCCCAGGAAATAATGAATTTCATAAACATGATAAACAGAATAGTTTTTAATTGAAACGGTATTACTATATGATACTTTCTTTTCCTTTTTGATATAAAAGAAGTTCTCTTTTGTACTAGATTTTTAGTTGGTAGTTTCTAACAAGAAAAATATAATTCTGTAATTATAAATGAATATTAAAGAAATAAAACTAAAAGAACAGTTATACTTTAATTGTATTCTCAGTTATGAATTGAAAAAAATCAACATACTTTAAAAGAAAGAGACATTGAAAAATAAATACAATTTTTTTTTACGCCAAATGTGATGCTATCCAAAATTCCTGGGGAGAACACTGCTGTGTACGTTATTTTATTTGGTGGCATTTTGTCCAAGGTTATGGTTGTCTATCTGGTATTGTTTTACATCTAACCACCTTGTTTTATTAATTTTGTATTAACATTGTGTCATAGATCAAATTTATTCGTTCAGTGTATGTTCACTTGTTTTTGTTAATATGTCTTTTGATTGAGTTAAGCCATTTCAATTGATATTTTAAAGTGTGTCTTTCTATGTTGTGATGTTACACTATTGTTTCAGGTTAGGGTAAAGGTTGGTGCCTATTAAAACGTTTAACCCTGCTGCATTTGTTTGCACCTGTCCTAAGTCAGGAACCTGATGTTCAGTGGTTGTCGTTTGTTGATGTGGTTCATAAGTGTTTGTCGTTTTTTATATAGATTAGACCGTTGGTTTTCCTGTTTGAATGGTTTTACACTAAGTCATTTTTTGGGGCCCTTTATAGCTTGCTGTTTGGTGTGAGCTAAGGCTGCGTGTTGAAGGCCATACTGTGACCTATAATGGTTTACTTTTACAAATTGTGACAATGATGGAGAGTTGTCTCATTGGCACTCATACCACATCTATTAATATCTATTCATTTCATACAGATGAAATGGAAAAGAAGTTTTTTACAAAGATCAAAATTTTTAAAAGGAAAAAATCAAAATCTTAACATAATAAGTTAATGGTGCTTTATCAGGACAATATCAGGTGGTTCAATTGCTATGTCTGTCCCAGAACTGAGAACTATACCAGCATAATCAAAGGGAGTGGGGGTCCTTCATTTCTGTATACTTTAAATTTCTAGGTAATTTTTTTGTAATCTTTATATTTTTTGCCCATTTTTCTCTATTCTTAATTTTTGAGATGTACAAACATCATCTGGACTAGCAATAGTGAATATTTGTACCTTGAGCAGACAAATCAGCTGGCTCAATTGGCATCTTATCCCAGGACTTAAAGCTTCAAAGGGAGGGGGTGAGGATGCTCTTGCCAATAAGGAATTACAGTACATTTCAACACAAAATTGGCATTAATGTTATCTTTGTTACATTTATTTGTCTAAGCTAGCGCAGGCGAGTCATTATATATACCTTGATAAGAACAATATCAGCTGCTTCAACTGCTACATCTGTGCCTGTACCTATAGCTATACCAACATCGGCCTGGGCTAGCGCTGGCGAGTCGTTCACACCATCACCAACCATGGCTACTTTCTGACCGCTGCTCTGTAACTGTTTTATTTTCTTCACTTTGTGTGATGGTAAAACCTCGGCAAAAACTTTCTGTATTCCCACCTGGAAACAAAAGACAATACAATAACCTATTATCAAACATTCTTTAGGCACATTCAAATGCATTTCTATAAAGTTTAACATACTGCCAAAAGAGTAGGGTGCATATTATATATTTACTTATTTTTTTGCTATTCTTGTGTCAGAACCCTTGATGTATAGCACTTAGGTTTTTAGCTCTTTTTTCACTTTTATGATATGTTTACAGAAAACTTTTACTCTTTAAATGTCTTATTAATATAAATATGAACCCTGCTTTTGATGAGACCAACACAGAGTCATATTTTTAACATGCTTGTTTACAAATCTGAACTCTGACTCTGAACTGACCAGTCTTTGCTTTTTCTCCTAAATATTGTGTGCTAAGCAGAGAAACCTTTGGTTTGATTTAGCCAGGGTTCAAACCCACAAATTCCCCAAATAACCAGCTTAAGGCAAGAATGTGACTGCAAGGCCACTGAGGCAACTGTTAACATAGAGATATCATGTTTACAAAACGCTATAGCTACATACACTAATCCTCTAATACCCTGAGAATGGGTATAAAAATGTTGACACATGATATCTATATGTTTTGATGAAGAAATGTTGATCAAATGTATTCTGTGTTAAACATATCATACATATTGCATATTTTTCAAATTAACATTTTTCAAGTACAAAATGCTTCCACGAAAAGGAGTTCTTCTGTATCTGGTTGATTTTAAGACTCCAGTCATGACTTAAGTTAACCATACCTGTTTTGCAATAGCCCTGGCTGTTTTCTGATTGTCCCCAGTCAGTAAGATAACTTGTAATCCCATTTCCCTAAGTGTAGTGATGGCCAGGTGGGCCTCTGACTTCACAGTATCTGCTACAGCTAACATGGCTACCAAAATACCTAGAAAATAAATCATGTCATTTACTAAATGAATTGTACTTATTGGTCTTTAGAAGTAAGCCTATATATACTCCTCCTCTCGGAGACTGAGTAAAAAAATGCACTTTGGTTTAACATGCATTCTTTAAATATCTAACTCTATGATCTGTTTTACAAATTTTAATTAGATTTAATTAAAAAAATTCTGAAATACCTCCCATTCACATATTTGGGAGTGAATTACAACAAACACATACCTCCTGTGCATAAATCCAACAATATACCTTCTTGACATGTAATTAACTGTTGGCATTAAACAGTAGGCTCCCTTATCTTAGCAAATTCAATAAATTATAAACCAATAATATTTGTTCTTGAAATAGAAAAAAGAAAATAATTATGCTCTACAAATATTTTTAAAAATATATAATACCATCTATTGCACATAAAACAGCTGTGTGACCCTGATCTTCATGTTCTGACATACTCTTGTCCATTAGATCTGTGACAATCAGTCCATTGCGCTGCATCCATTCTCTGTTTCCAATCAACACCTGATATGGCTGAGGTGCTGAGGCTCCCATTAGTTCTATATCTGTTCATATAGGAATATTGGAATATCAATATGTTAACGGGAAGTTATTGTACTGTTTCCACACCTTATTTGGCATGTTTATTGGTAAAATAATTTTTGACTCTCTTCAGAACAGCTAATATACTTGAACAATCATAACAACCATGCATGTTAAACTAGTCTCAAACACAAAATTGGCAACTCATGATGATATGAATGTAGATACATTATACCCTCTAGAAGCAAGACAAAGCTAAAAACTTCCAAAGGTCACCGAGGTAATATTATGAACTGCTGACTTTTTTAACAGAGTTTTTTTTTAATGTATATTTTGTTGATTTTCTTCCTTTCAAGATAAACCATAAATTGTAAATTTCATATCAACAAATGAAACAGAAATTTCTGTAATTATTAAAACGCACAGTCATATGAAGTTACAGATAAATGCCATTAAATTTCTAAATATAATCTACTCTGACAGTAATAGTGAATTAAATAAAATAAACAATGCCTACAAAATGACATCTGAAAATGTAGAGTCAAGTCATTTGAGTCTTGTCTATAGCTACTTGTGTCAGGCACTTAACTAGTGAAGATGCAATAAATATTTTGAAATTCTTTTTTATTGAAAAAACATTTCATTTTCAGATTGAATTCCTCAAGTTCTGATGTCCATCTACCTTATATTTGTTAACCAAATGATTAAAAGAAACAGTCGAGCCCTAACTTTAAAAGACACAGCTCTGCCAGGTATATTTAAAAGAAACAACCCTTACAATTATGTTTCAATATTTATCTCTACCATGAGCTTTATACTGACAGGCTCTTAAAAGCTTGTTAAAGAATACATCATAATTCTATTTTTAAAAAGCAAAATCACATGATTGTTTATTTCTTAAACTGAAATGTGCTATTAAATCACACAATATATGATCAAAATATACTTATCCGACCTAAATTCTGGAAATGACATAGAAAGTGAATTCTTTAATACATAATAATTTGTTGATAGAATTTATAAGCTTTCAATGTTAGCTTTCCTATCTATAGGTTGTATCACAATTGATTTTATTTAACCTACCTTCTATATGTATAGCAGAACTGCCATCATTCAAAACATTTTCAGTTTTGATGCGGAGGCTCCCAACTTCATTTTTACGGTTGTTGATTTGCTCTAGATCTAAGTTGGTAAGTAAAGGTTCTATCTGAGAAACGATACATTTCAGGCCACATCCAGGAACTGCTTGGAAATCACTGACTTTACCAAGGTTATCTGCATTCAAAGTCTGAAATCACATTCAATTAATCAATTATACAGTTCATTCCTGTACCCACTTCAAAGTTACAGCTAGTCTATATACAACTGAGCATTAAATAAAATTAATTTTTGGTTTCATGAAAACTAACTTGAGCTATAGATCATGAGAAATGTGAAAAAAAAATTTATGTCAAAATATAATACTCCCATCACTGAGGAATGAATAGTCTGGATAATCATCAAAACTAAGATGTATCTAGATTATTTTTTAATTCAAGATTGTGTAAAGGTCTGGTAAGGATTTGTTAAAATATACTGATGAGACATGCTAAGAAAGATGGATGGACAGACTGACATGTAGACATATAATACATTGGTTTTCACCAGTGTTTTAAAAAAAAAAAAACATTTCAAAAATGCACAGAAAGTAAGAAACTTTTGGAGAAATTATTATAAAGGCATGACATAGATACCTATAAAAATGTTCTACTAGAAAACTTAGCGCCTTCTTATTAATAAGTAATTGCTGTTTGCTTAAATCTTCAGTGACAAATATTTCATGCATATCAGAATGAAAACAAATTAACAACTAGGCAGAAGTGTTTTAGTATACTAAAATATGTTTTCTCTTTTATCTTTACATTGTATAAAAATCAATAAGGTAAAAGAAAGGCACAACAAATACAATTTTGTACTGTCAAGTATTGCCACAGTAAATAAGAATATACACAAAGTAAATAGGTCGGGATCTCAACTGATTTTCAATATATTTAACAATTTATAACCTAAGTAAGTTGGGTTGTCATGTGACCTATTTCTCATGAAAAAGTTATGGTCAGACTCTAAAATGTCACAAAAATGAATTATTTTGGCCTTTAGATCAAAGATTATAGTCATAATATTTTGCATCATACCATCTTTCATTATACACCTTCATGCCAATTATTATGAATCAATATCAATTTTTTATTCTTGACCAAGGCAAGGTTGTATGAGAACCAGAAGAAGAAATAATACTAAAACATAATGTCTCCTTTTCTCTTGAGGAGACATAATGAATCTAAAATGAAGATTCTGCAAAGTGGTTCATCTGTGATGAAGAATGGGAATTTTAAACTGGAAAATAAGGGTGTATTCCATAGGGCCAGACATTTTGCTTTGCAACAGTCCATTTATGAACCTTAGTGATGTTGCACAGAACTTGGCATTTTCCCATACATGAATCATCAGAATTAAAGTTCCCATTCTGAGAAGTTTTGACTGTATATTTTAAGGGCTAAATAATAAATGGGGAATGTGTCCATGAGACACAGATGATGCCCCCTCTTGCATATAATATTATAAAGGAACATAACTCAAGAACAGTAAAAGTGATGCTACTCAAATTTGTACTTGATTTGAGTTTTGTGATAATTAGCATTGTGTATAAGTGTCATAACATTTGGTTGAGGCAAACTAAAGTTAGAGAAAAGAAACGAAACATTCAGCAATTTTTCCATTTGCAAAGGGGCATAACTCTAGAACAGTAAAAGTGACATCATCAAAATTCATACCTGATCTGTGTTTTGTGGTAATATGCATTGTGTATAAGTTTCATGACATTTGATTGAGGCAAAATTTAGTTAGAGAACAGAAACGAAAAATTCAGCAATTTTTTCCATTTGTAAAGGGGCATAACTCTAGAACAGTAAAAGTGACGTCACCAAAATTCAAACTTGATCTGTGTTTTGTGGTAATATACATTGTGTATAAGTTTCATAATATTTGGTTGAGGCAAACTAATGTTAGAGAACGGAAACCAATTTTGGGACGTACGGACGGACGTACAGACAGACATGGGTAAAACTTAATGCCCCCTCCGCTACGGCGGGGGCATAAAAATACAAAGTTATGTATATTTACAAAAGACTGTATGATGTACCTGTTTTGTATATTTGACAATAGCTGATGCTATTGGATGTTCACTGCTGGCCTCAGCTGTTCCTGCGATGGCTAACAGCTTCATTAATGAGCAGACTTTGTCATCAACAAACTTGGCAACTCGTGATACTTTTGGTACACCATGAGTCACTGTTCCAGTCTTGTCAAAAACGATACTCTTTATCTGAGGTAAAATCAAAAAGTATTGTAGATACAAATTTATAATGTTTTTATATTTCTATGAAATACATTTTTATGAAATACTTCGTTTTTGTTTATTTGTTATACATGAATTAATGGCACTTGGTACATTAGCTTGCATAGAGGAACATTGGAAAATGATTACAAAGTAGTGGTTGGTTGATTTAGAACTTGACATTCAGTATAGATTCTTGTCCATTATTGAAGACCACATGTTGACCTCTTCATTTTTGTTTGCTTTCCATATTGTTTGGTTTGTGTCTCATCAAAAATGTGTCCCAAATCTCTATTCATATGATTATTACTTCCTACCTGTGTAATTAACTTGAAAGGTGTAAATATAAATATATTTAATGAAACATGTTGAAAGTTAAAAGGGCTATGTTGTTCCTAGATTAACACTGGATTGCAGTATATTATATTTCCTTAAGAAATTTATAAAATGAAAGGATATAGGGTAGACCTTTCACTAATAGACAAACAACTCATTTCCATTAGCACAACTAATAAAAATTACATTACTTACCTTGTGTGTCGTCTCTAGTGGTTCACCACCCTTAATCAATATTCCATTTGTAGCTCCTACCCCAGTGCCCACCATGACAGCTGTGGGTGTGGCCAGCCCCAAGGCACATGGGCAGGCTATACTCAGTACAGTGATAGCAAACTGGAAAGCTTTCTGGAATATCAGTTCATGTCGTGTAATACCCTCGTTCTCCTGAAAGTAAAGATAATATTATTTATCCCATGACTTTTGTGATTAATATTTCTGTTCAAGATTGGTTAAAAATGCATATATCTGAATGCAGCCAAAAAATATTTTTATCATCTGCCTAAATCAAATATTCTGGTATTAAAAGTCTACATGTTGTTAATAGATATCTTTATTTTTTTTAAATAACGCACAGTGCTAGCAGGTTTATTCATTTGTCTGGTAAGTCCATTCCTTTAAAGTTATGTTAACAAAATGATTGGATTTACCAAATACACAAATTTACAGGACTAGAGCATATTTGCTTTTAATGCTATACTGGAAGGTTTTTCTTTTGATATATCATTACCTCATATTTTAATAGAATTTTTAATAATTATGCAAATAACATTTTAGTTTCTAATAAACTTACATCAAACTGTGAATCAATGTGGTAAATACTATCATATCCCACAATCACCCAGGAGATCAAGGTCAAAATTGACAGAGAGCAGACGATAGGTACAAAATATCCAGCTATGGTGTCTGCCAATTGCTGTATTGGAGCTTTGGATGTCTGGGCCTCCTCTACAAGTTTTACAATCTGTGAGAGAGTGGTTTCTGAACCAACATGTGTGGCCTGCACTAACAGCATACCATTCTGGTTTATAGATCCTCCTATAACATCACTGCCTGTTAAAAACAGTAGTATTTATAAAAATTAATTAAATCTGAATAATATAAGATATGGGGTCAAAAGACAGCAATAATAACTTATATCAGACATATATAGGACACTACTGTGGATTCATTTATTTTCGTGGGTATCAATTTTCGTGGATAGAGAAAAAAAGACGTTTCGTGGTATACGCAAATTCGTGGATCGCTGATTACAAAAAAAAAAAAAATCAGATACGTAATTCGTGGATTTCTTTTTGATTTTGGAGATCATATAACCTCCTTGGTTTAATCAATAATAAAACAAACAAAAAAGAAGGAATTCATTGAAAAAGTTTTGAACTGTCAAAATCCTCGCTTGGTCATTCTAGGTTAAAGTGTTCATTGAAAACTTCTATTACAATAATGGACAGAGACAACTAATTATTTGTTTGTTTTACAATTTATAAATTCTTGTCGGCATTTTATAAGGCATTCAAAACTCTATGATTGAAAGCTCATTTCCCTAATCACGATATAATTAACAGTCATATAAGTAAAAGGTGTGAAAATAAATGTTCCTGTCATAAACAATATTACCTACGGGCAATATCCCCGTACTTAATCCTATTGATTTTTTATCACCAGTAAACCAAACTATGACACGGTAATTAACAACTTGCAGTTATTTTCCATGAACAGTTTTAATCAATTTCAAAAAGTAAATTATTACCGATATTCGATATATTTATTATTGATTTAATCAAAATACTTGTATCTTCTTTCAATAAAAACACGTGTTATGTTACAATGTTTATCGCTAGTCAACACTATACTAGAACAGCATAACATAACCGGAAATAAACATCCGACTCCATACACATTTCTCGGGACTATTCTTCGTTGAATTCTTAAATTCGTGGTTCGCTGTGACCCACGAAACCCACGAAAATTGGTATACCACGAATAAAAATGAATCCACAGTATATTGACTTTTATGATGTTAGTTGCTAAATCGTATGTCAAAGTTTAAATCTCCTTATTTCTAAACATGTACATGTTTCAGTACCTGTGAAATGTAAATTTCAGGTAATTTTAAACAAAATTTGGGGAGACAACTAGTTCTTAAGAATGTTGACATGATACTGTTTGGAGCAACTTATTTTGATGATTTTTGTGAAAATTTTCTATTTTCTAAATTTTTAAGGACTACTTTTTTTATCTTTTGAGAGCTCTTTGAAAATAACAAATCATTGCTTTAATGAAATTGAACCTTTTACAACATGACTCAATGAATGGCTGAAAGTTTGACAGTACAGAATTATCTTTAAATTTACAACACTGCCTAAAGTAAGTAATATACATAATTTGCTTATTATCTATTGGAATGGAATTTGTTTTTGCCTGCAATTTAAAAAATTGAAGTAGGACAAACATGTATAACAAGGAACAGCAGTTACCTATGGTTTTAACAACAGGCATGGCTTCTCCAGTAATCAGTGATTCATCACATGTTGATGTTCCTTCTATAACTCTGGCATCTACTGGAATCTTTTCACCAGGTACAACCTTCAAAGGGAAAGAAAATCAAAAAAATTCTGAAATCAATACAACATTGTAAGTACAAATGTATCATCATCAGGTTTTCTGAATACTGAATTAAATTTAAGTCATGATTTTAACCTCAATTTTTGACATATCCAATGCTGAACAAACCAAATGTACAACGTGTCTCTGGACCAAATAAAACAATTTTGTAACTTTTTCACATGTATTTAAAGGTTGTCTCCCTTATACCATAATTCACAAATGATTCATCTATCAACATTGTTTTTATAATATAACTTCACTATTCCTGTCCTATGAAGATTAATATTGCTTTCAAAAAATGTTTGAAAATACTAGACATGATGCACAATATATAAGTGATATATATCACAAAGTAATATTCCTTCTTACCCTCTCCCTAGACTAAATCTACACTGTACTTATTCTAGATTTTCCTTATCAAATACCTTTCACTCTTGGGACTCATATCTTCTTTATAGTGGTAAATCTTAAAGTATAGGCAAATTGTCTCTCTGGAGAAGATCTGAGCCTACTGTCAATCTTAGTTCTAGATTAATGCTTCCCCTCTCTTGTACAGATATAAATCTGGTATATTATACATAATACATCTCCTTTATGGACCAGGTTTAAATTTGATGAAAACATAGGTTATATGTATAAATACCTTTAAAACATCTCCTCTCTGGACCAGATCTACACTAATAGTAGATTCCTTCAGGATGTTATTTTCTTTGTCTACCTCACATAATACAGCCTCTGAAGCTTGTAGTGACATCAGTTTGGCTAGAGCTTCTGATGTCTTACCCTGTCAAATGTAAAAAAAAATGTTAAAGTGCAAGTTCTCATTTTTGAATTTCATTACACAATATAATAATGTATTCGTTCCTGTTTACAATTTATAAGTATTCTTCTTTGACATTAAAGGTCAAAATGAAGTGCACTTGGTCCTTCTAAAGCCCAAAATACAACTCAAATAAGAGTCCAGTAATTGCTTAATTTGTTTTTGTGACTGCCAGGTTCTGTGCCTTGCTAAACTAGATTTAAGTAAATTCTTATACAGTCCAATTACTACTATATACCAATTAATTTGTGTAAACAATTTATCTTTGCCACTTAAACAAGAAGAAAAATAACACGAATATAAATTGTCACAACTATGATCTTCTCTAACATTAATACATCTACAAATTAAAAAAAGTGAAAATAAATCATCGCCAAGTCTGCAAGAAAAGTCTAAATGTGAAAAAAGTATTCACAAAAATTATTTGGTTTACAGTATGTTGAGAAATATATCACAATTTGATACAGGAATCAACAGTTGATTGTAGTTCAGGATGAATGATTATAGTTAACTGGTCATGTAGGTTGCAGTTTCACAAGCCTGTTAGTGAAAATAACTTCCAGTGGTATGAACATTTAGTAGTTTGGTTCATGGGGATTACTCTTTTAATCACATTTTCATCATTTTTATCAGTTAATAGTAATATTTTAATATGTTGCAAGTCCTCCAATTATAAGAATTCAAATTGCCATTTATTTTAAAATAAAATAGAAAGAATACCTTTGCAATGTGTTCTAACCATCTTCCAAGTGAAATGAAAACCATCAACATGGGAGTCGTCTCAAAAAACGTAACAGGACTCATTGGTTCCTTGAGTATCATAGCAACAATCACAACAATTACTGAGTAAGCGTAAGATATCGATGTTGCCAAGACAACCAATACATCCATGTTAGCAGCTTTATGTTTGACTGCTTTCCAAGCTTGTATGTAGAAATATTTACCTCCAAGAAACTGAAATAGACAAATGCAATTGCATTTTTATTAGTATCAATATTTTCAACTTTCCACTGCATTTCTCAAGTTTTTCTGTGAAGATTAAAGAATCAATTGATTTTTCTACTTTCAATAATATTTACTTATTTTTTTTATCAAAATTACAGCAATATTTTCCATAAAACATTGATCAGGTTATACAGAAGGTTGAGTGCACAGGTGTATTTTACTGCAACATTCTTTGCACATGTCAAGAGCCTGTAATTAAGTGGCTGTTTTTTTGTTTTTTTCATCTCTTATTTTTAATTCACAAATACTCCTATTAAGGAGTAATAAAAGTAGTTTTGGTAAATTACTGTCTGCCTTATTTGGGTTGTTTTTCATTGATTTTAGCATAAATTCAGGTTGATGGTTTTCCTCGTTTCAATTTTGTCATGTAGAGGCCTTTTATAGATCACTATACAGTAGAGGCCTTTTATAGATCGCTATACAGTAGAGGCCTTTTATAGATCACTATACAGTAGAGGCCTTTTATAGATCACTATACAGTAGAGGCCTTTTATAGATCACTATATAGTAGAGGCCTTTTATAGATCACTATACAGTAGAGGCCTTTTATAGATCGCTATACAGTAGAGGCCTTTTATAGATCGCTATACAGTAGAGGCCTTTTATAGATCACTATACAGTAGAGGCCTTTTATAGATCGCTATACGGTAGAGGCCTTTTATAGATCGTTATACGGTAGAGGCCTTTTATAGATCGCTATACGGTAGAGGCCTTTTATAGATCGCTATACAGTAGAGGCCTTTTATAGATTGCTATACAGTAGAGGCCTTTGATAGATCACTATACAGTAGAGGCCTTTTACAGATCACTATACAGTAGAGGCCTTTTATAGATCACTATACAGTAGAGGCCTTTTATAGATCACTAGACAGTATAGATTTTGATTGACAGGAATACAATGCCTTATTGTTGTTTATATCCTAATCATGTGATCTCTGGTGGATAGTTTTCTCATTGGCAATGATAGGATATCAAATGATACCAAATCTAATTTTCAACTTTTTTTATTCTAATTTTTTACATGAAACTTTAACAGTAGGTCTCGATTTGATAAGCACTTTACCAGTATGAAAGGAAAAGTAGAATTATGACATTCATCAAGGGCCTACTAAGTAACTTATAATTTGAGGGGAAAACAGCTTTAGGTGAAGTATAGCTTACTTGGTAGAAATATACCCTTTTATGTATGGGGGAAAGGGATATCTTGTAAGTAATTAGTTCATGCACAAAAACGCAACTGGCATCAAGTTCAAAATTGTGTGCAAAAATAATGAAATTCACCCAAAAAAATTATAATTTATTGCATGATGTGGAAAGATTTTTTACTTTTTGACCATTAAAGCTACATTACTCTAGATGTAAAACCTAAATCCTGAGAATCTGACAGAAAAAAATAATGATTACTATAGGGCAATACTAAATGTATTTTATTCTAATTATTTGATTTACCTGAACAGGTGTTGCCAATAAGAACATCAACAAGTTATCTAACGAAAGTCCAGGTGTCAACATTATTTGATACATGTGACCATTATATTTAGGTTTAGGTGTTGTCATGTTGCCTGTCATATTGCTGTGGTCTGCATGGTCATCATCAGGTGGTTCCACAAACATAAAGTACATCATTATAGACATGGCTGGCACACCAAATATCAAGGACCATAAGAAGGAGTTCCGCCATCTAAAAATAGCACAATAAAAAACTATAAATAAATGTAAGGTTAATTTTGGTATAACTGACTGTTAAGGTGCATTTGATAGTTGCCCAGGTAAATCGTACAGAGTTCTGTTTACATGATAATATTTTCTGTTTAATTAACCAAAAATGTCCAGTTTTAGTGTTCACACTGTGGGATTTTTGTTAAACAACATTACAGGTATAAAATAGGATGGAAAATCATACAGTGTAAATCCACCTTTACAATTGGAAAGTGCACAGACATGCAAAACCTTCCATACAGTTAATAGGCTGAAATATCTGTACCGGTCTAGCTACAAAGACCATTCAATTTGCATGGCCTCTACAGTTTGTGCTGCTATTTAGAGCTTGGCATATCTTGCTAGCAAATGTCTATTGGTTTAAGACCTTATGATGACCTATAGGCATTTTTAGTTTTAGGTTGCTGTCTTAATGACATATTTATCACACACACTTAATTTCATTCAAAGATCATAAACATTTAATTGGTAAAGCCTATTCCAATTCCAACAATATTCAAATGATGTATGTGTATTAGTATGAGAAGAATATTATGTAAATTTATGATCACAGCATTAAAATTTCCAACCTATCAAATACATGTAAGTATATCCATACCTCCTTATAGCATGTCTGTGGTCGTATCTCGAAGCATTTTTATCATCATCAGTGAACAAATCTGCATTGAACCCCAATCCCTAAAGTAATATATATAATATACAAGTAAAGATATTGAAAATAGATATACAGTGAATTCTTCTCATTGACATCACAATTATACTCATTTTATAATAAACAATTACATGTAAATTTGGACATAAAACAGTTCTATATGACTTATTTCCTTGTTTGTTTACACATCTTACAACAGTTTTAACAAGGACCATAACTCTGCATAAAAATCATCAGATCGGAACAAAATTCGAACTTGATCTGTAACTTGTCATGATAAAACAATACACTAAATATCAAATCAATATCTTCAAGGACGAAGAAAAAAAGTGTAGAAAACTGATTTGCCGGACTGACGGATGGACAGACAGACAGGCAGACAGACAGACGGACAATGTACAAACCTTAAGTCCCCTTCGACTTCGTCCCGATAAGTGTGCAATAGATTGCATGATATACAAATTCTCATCAACATTATATGATAGAAATTTTTCTTCAATGGAATATACCTTTTCATTTATCTTTACATCATGTCAGTATTTCAGATGATGAAAGATATTGTGGTAGTCTCAAACAATTCCTAGTTTAATATGTAACATTGTTGATAGTCTTTTAGAATAAGGTAGTTTAGTCGGTATTACTATATGTATCAAGATAAATTATCTTAAAATTTCTCAACATAATAAACTATTATATTGCAGGCATATGACCCTTAATGCACCTGTAAATATTTCCCTAAATTTATTCCAAATGCTTTTTTTGTATTAAAATTTCTATTTTTAGCCCTCTTCATTTTTAATTTTTGTTCTTGTTTTGAGCTCATTGATACATAAAAGTCATACAGAATGATTGATTGATTGAATGTTGGTGTTTTACACCACTTTCATCACTATTGGCTGTATTGTGGCGGCCAGGTTTTATTTATGGAGGAAACTGAATTGCCCAGAGAGAACAACAGATATTCAACAGGAAAACAGGAAATCCTAGTCAATTCGAACACAACAGTAGCATTGAAACTCACAACTTCAGTGTAAACCAGCTAGTGATACAGAGGATGACCTACTTAGACCACTCGCCCACCAATGCACCCCCCCCCCCCCCCCTATTCTATGCAGTACAAACTAAAACACCCAGTACCTTAATTTTGTCTATTATGTCTCTTGGTCCTGTAATCTCTGTATCAAAGGTAAACCTTCCTTTATTGGTTGCCAAGGCAACAGAAGCAGTTAAAACTCCTTTTTCCTTTATCAGTGTAGATTCTATCAGGTGTACACAAGAAGAACATGTCATTCCAGTTATCTGTTAAATAGAAATATCATAAGTTTTACTTTTGGTAAGCCTCAAATGATCTTTAAATATAGGTGTACATGAACATAAATTTGGAATAACCAAACATTGTCTCGAATCATTCTTTAAGGTAGATCACAGGTATATATTTCCTCAGATAGAATTTTTTTATACTTTGCCAAAATAAAGATTTTTCTATGCTTTTTCCAAAAATATAATAAAAAGTATGGGTCACCATGCTATTTTTCAAGCTACGGGTCGTACGAAATTCTACAAATTTGCTTAGATTGTTCATGAAAAAACACATTTTTGTGCATAAAAAAAAATCTATGAGATAGAATTTTGAAATAAAATATGAGAAGATAGGTTTTATGATATGCTTTAAGAAAATAAAAAGAAAAATGGTGTCAACGAACTTGTTTTTCTTGCTACAAGTAAAAAATTAAAATTTCCCTATCAGTCCAGTATAAATTTTTTACTAAAAGAGTTATCTCCCCTTAAATGGCCAAGTTGAAAAAATGATTCTAAAACACAATTATTTGGTATTTATTTAAACATTTTGAATAATGCAATAAATCACCAAGTTTTCTTTCATTAAATAAACACTCTAACCTATAAATTGCCTATCTGTCTCCAAATTTGCAGATTTGGGCAAAGATCTAGACCGATTGTGTACTGCGATTGTACAATCCAAGATGGCGGTATACCATGAATCTACCTTAACACAGAAACAAACAGTATATAATATGTAACGAAAGTCATGGAAAAACAGACAGCAGACAAGAGTTGCAGTATACCATCCAATCTGTTAGTCAGGGTAAATATATAATTATATATGGGAGTGTGGCAATTCCTTTTATACTGCAATGCTTTAAAGCATTCAGAATATTAATAATTTTGGAGACATTTGTCAATTTTGACATGAGGAAGACAATAACAAAAATGCTGCAATCCTGCACTCCTCTATAATGTAATGAAAATTTTACAGAAACACACATCTGTATACACTCAGGGATTACGATAATTAATAAAATAAATAGAGAATATGTTATGGCTTTTTCAATATCACATCCATATCAACCTGAAACACCAATATAATCCCCAAGAGCTCTATACTGAGGGATTATATTGGTTAAGGGTTGATACAGTTTGTGATACTGTAAAAGCCATATACACTTTATTATGTAACCAAAAAAGATGTTTTTCACATGAGATTACGTAATACAGATTGGGAGTTTGATAAAGCTTTGAAATCTTGACTGATATCGACATCATCATGGATTGCTGATACAGCAAGATTACCATTTATTGTATTACTGTACACATCTACTTGTAATAACTATTAAGAATATAATAAAAGAATTACCGTATACAATCAATTTAATTTTAATGCCACAGCTGCAGTATAAATAAACATATTTTGTGAAATCGCAATACACATTCTTAATGAACTTTACATTAACTCTACTGAGCCTTTTACACAATTTAATGAACATGATATATTGTATTGTAGTTATATGAACATTTAGCAGTTACTCTATAAATCTATTTGAAGTTCTTATGACAGAGACTTTGACATGGAATTTGAGATCACCAACATAGTGCAGATTGGACAAAACATATCATGTATATTTACATAAGACTCAGAACAAGATTTTATTTCCAATTAAGGACAGCCAAAGGGCATAAACATTGACATGACAATAACATTCAATAATTCAAAATCAAAACAATTCCAACAACTATGGTGTAATTAAAACAAGTCAAAAGACATTTTCAAAGTTCTTCAGTAAATACTTAATAGTTTACAAATAACCCTTCAGTGCCTTAACCAATACCAAGGGGCTCTGACTCACAAAAACAGTGGCATGGAATCCCAGGTCATCGATACTGTTACTGTGAATTTATTATTATTTGTGGGTAAATTTTAACCACAAATTTAAATGTTCAATGAATTAAAAATATTTCTATAGGCTTGTATGCAGACTTTGGTATAACCATGAAACCAAATATTCACGAAAATGCAAGTTTTGCACAATCTACAAAAATTGGAACCAACGAAAATAAACGAATCGTTATCTGTTTGGGTAATACACATAATGTTTACTTACAAGTAACTCTACAGTGCCTTTTCCCAGGGACTCAGACTCCATAACGGTGGCATGGAATCCAAGGTCATTGACCCTGTTAGCTATTTGATTGGATAATATGTATTCTGGATCATATTTAATTTCAGCTTTCTGTGCCATTAGTGCTACCAACACATGTTTTATACCTGCAAACATAAACATATCTTATTATAGTCCATCTCTTATTATAGTCCATCTCTTATTATATAAAATTGAGAATGGAAACAGGGAATGTGTCAAAGAGACAACAACTCGACCAAAGAGCAGAAAACAGCTCAATGCCATCAATGGGTCTTCAACACAGCGAGAAAATCCTGCACCCAGAGGCGGGCTTAAGCTGGCCATAAACAAAAATGTATTCTAGTTCAGAGAAAATGGAAGTCATACTAAACTCCGAAACATATAAATGAACCAAAATTAAAGACTAACAAAGGCCAGTGGTTCCTGACTTGGGAAAGGTGCAAAAATGCGGCTGGTTTAAACATGTTTTGTGAGATCTCAACCTTCCCCCTATAACACTAGCCAATGTAGAATAAACAAACACACAGTAAAACTCAGTTTAAAAGAAGTCAGAGTCAAATGTTAGAATAGGTAACAGAAGAAACTAAGCTTTTATACTGTAATAATTCAATATCATTATTTTTGAGCCATTTAGAAGAAATACATGTACACAAAGATAACTCTATCCTTTGATCTTTGGTGGACAGTTTTTATGGCAATCATACCACATCTCTTTACTTATACATGTATATAATATTGTTTATTCTATAACTCAATTTGCATCCACTCTTTGCTGATAAATTGCATATCTTCCAAGTTCTCATATTTTTGTTATGCCTACTTTCTTACTAGTCTTTTGGGTGACTCTTTCGAAACCAAATAGAACCTTAAGGAACGTAACTTTAGGAATCATTTAGACTTATGGAACTGGTTTCCTATTTGATACCCACAATTAAAGTGCTCTGCATAAAATTATATATTTTTATCCTGCAATTGACCTTTCTACTATACTAATACAGTCGTACAGATAACACGAAGCGATATACATATACTAGATGTATATAGTCTCCTGGTATCCTGCTTCTGTTGCGAGCGAACGGTTATGTCAAATTACTGTTTACGACACAGTTCAATTTGGGGTCCTCATTGCGGTCTGCATTTAAGTCATGTTGAGTTCTCTAAAAAACAAATTCAACGATTGGGATGGGAAAAAATTGTACAAATTTAATTGCAGGATAAAGACAATAACTGTTTAGTGTCTTTAAATATCAGCTGTATTTGTACTCGGCTAGAAAGAGGAGTAATAGCTCACTGAAGCTCACATTACCATGATTACACCTGTTTCTTAGCCTTGTACAAATACAGCTAATATTTAAAGACACTAAACAGTTATTGTCTATGTATTTAACAATCCTCACCTTCGACTTTCTTGAGATTTTTCTCTATAGAACTGACACATGATGAACATGTCATCCCTGTTATATGAAGAAAACATTTCTCCAAGTCATCATCATCGTCATCATCTTTTACACACTTTTTAAACTGCACAGATCCTTTTAAAACATCCACCTTTAGACTACCAGTACCGCTGAGTTTAGACGCCTGACTAGCAGATCTAATTATTGTTACTGTAGGAACTTCTAAGTCATTGTGTATTACTGCAAAATAATGTAAATAGGCATCATATAAACGAAACTTAGAAATATAAGTGATATCTGTGAAATTTTTGTTTCCTGCACATTACAATTTTAGTATTCAAATCAAATTTATATGTTTTTATGTGTTATTTTAATATTATACAAGTACTATATTCCCTCCTGTTAACTTGCTATTATAAGGAGCAAACAGTGATATAAAAAATATTGTGAACCCTCTTCCTTTTGTTTCTATCATGTCTATACCTCATCCAAATCAATTTCATATTTACTACCATTGAATGTGAATTGCACATAACATTTCAAATTTTACTTCAAAAAGTAGCCAAACACGACCTTTTCTCATTTTTCAAATTGGCTGAATTGATTTCCTTAATTGTCTCCTCCACATTTAATGTAAAAGATGACTTGTTTTCCATAAGTCTGTTTGTTTGTCTGTTATAAATCTTCACCAACCATAAAAGCTTCCATTGTTTCCATTCTAATGAAATAAAACTTAACACTACATAATATGATGTTGTGATAAGGAACAAAGGATAAGCATAACTTTACATTCATTTTTTTGATCACACTAATTTGTGCCATAAAAAAATCCATGAACATGCCCCTAGCAATTTAGTGATTTTCTGTCCCGTGTATTTCCACATTTACCCAGTGATCAGGTTAGGACTGGTTGTTATAATAATGTCCTTTCACAATTTCAAGTGACCAGTATTTGCCTTATTTACTGGTATTTACCAAAGGCCTGGTCAGTACTAGCATTGACAGTTTTTTTGCCAACCTTGCAGTCACGTCTAAGTCATTAAAGCTGAACGAACGTACGTACTTGGTCAGCTCCTCATTATCCGCAAACTACAATGTGTAACTGCTGATTGTATGCCTCAATGACATTAATACTACTTCATTTCAACAGAAACCAACTCAACGTTGTAGTTACAAAGAAAGTATACCTAAAGCCACAAAATCCACGAAAAAAATGAGTACCCAACAAATAATAATAAATCCACAGTCTTTGAATATGCTTTAAATCCCATATTGCTATAAAGAAAAAAGTTGATCCTCTATAGAGTTAAAAAAAAAAAGTGGCAAAAAATTAAGATTCCACCTTTTGATATAATAGAAAAAATTATTCCCCTACATTCTACCCTTTTCTCAGGTAAAAAAAAATATGAGTCCCTTACTTGTAAGTATTTATACTACAATTAATTAAAATAAATGGGGAATGTGTCCATGGGACACAGATGATACCCCCGCTTGCATATAATTTTATAAAGGGACATAACTGAAGAACCCTAGAGGTGACACAACCCAGATTTGTACTTGATCAGAGTTTTGTGGTAATAAGCATTTTTTATACCTAAGTTTAATAACATTTGGATGAGGCAAACTTCAGTTAGAGAACGGAAACAAAAAAATCAGCACAATTTTTTCATTTGTAAAGGGGCATTACTCTAGAACAGTAAAAGTGATGTCACCAAAATTCAAACTTGATCTGTGTTTTGTGGTAATAAGCATTGTGTATAAGTTTCATAACATTTAGTTGAGGCAAACTAAAGTTAGAGAACGGAAACTAAAAATTCAGCAACTTTTCAACTTCAAAGGGGCATAACTCTAGAATGGTAAAAGTGACGCCACCAAAATTCAAACTTGATCTGTGTTTTATAGTTATAAGCAGTGTGTATAAGATTCATAATATTTTGTTGAGGCAAACTAAAGTTAGAGAACGGAAACGGAAAATTCAGCAATTTTTCCATCTGTAAAGGAGCATAACTCTAGAACAGTAAAAGTGACACCACCAAAATTCAAAGTTGATCTGTGTTTTATGGTAATAAGCATTGTGTGTATGTAACATAACATTTAGTTGAGGCAAACTAAAGTTAGAGAACGGAAACTAACAATTCAGCAACTTTTCAATTTCAAAGGGGCATAACTCTAGAACGATAAAAGTGACACCACCAAAATTCAAACTTGATCTGTGTTTTATAGTAATAAGCATTGTGTATAAGATTCATAAAATTTTGTTGAGGCAAACTAAAGTTAGAGAACGGAAACCAATTTTGGGACGTACGGACAAGGGTAAAAGTTAATGCCCCCTCTGCTACGGCGGGGGCATAAATATATGACAGTATATTGTTGGTACAGGGCATAACTTAAAACTTACTGCAGTAATGAGATTTTCACTCATTTTTGAAGACCTTAAGCTTGCAGTAAGATTTTTTGCTGTTTATTTCAATTTAATTCATTCTTTGATATATAATCTACACTTTAAGTGTATAGTAACTGAACTATTTACAAGAAGCTTTAAATTGTGATCCATTAAAGTTTTACATCTGTTTTCATACAAGCATACCTACGTCTCTATAACAATGTAAATACTTTGATGTGGTATGTGGGGCAGACAATGTGTTATCATAGTTGAAAAATTCCTCTGTCATGTCTATATATACAAAATAACATAAGAATACATTTTATGTTTGGTAATTTTAAAAACTTTCCCTCAATGTAAATACAAAGTAATTAATTAGGTTTAAATAACATTAAAAGACTCCTTAAATAATATTGTCAAATCAATCTAAAGGACCAAACATCCTACTAAATTTGAGTGTTACCAGAAAAAGTACTTAAGAGAATTGCCTGAACGAGGAATTTTTTTATCATTCAAAGTGCACTAGAATAGCATGCAAGTACATGTATGTAGCTGGTATGGTTTGAGACAATTTTAAGCTTTAATGCTTCTGAGCTACTTGAAAAACTGTGTGACTTTTTACCTCAGATACTTTGCCCATTTCCCATAAAAGTGTTATGCAATACAACATCTGTAAAAATTGAAAAAGCAAAGTGGTTGTAGTTTTCTAGTTTAAATCTGTTTACATTGTCATTTCAGGGCCTTTTAAAGCTTGCTATGCAATATGGGTTTTGCTCATGGCTGAAGGCTTTACAGTGACCTATAGTTTTACATTCTACATCATTTGGTCTCTGGTGGAGAGTTGTCTCATTTGCAATTATTCCACATCTTCTTATTTTCATATGGAGGTTTAACATGACAAGCAAAAAAAAAATCATGGCCAAACTTCCTTCCAAATATGAGAAACCACTTGACAATAGACACAAGATGGAGTAAATTCACAAGTTGTATGAAAACAGGCATACAAAATGTGAATCTTTATTCCCATATGGCACTTAATTTCTTAAAGATAATATAAAACGTTCATAGCATCAATCAACATCTACACATTCTTTAAAATTCAAAGTTTTACCTGGTAGTGAGGCTTCAAAGCCCATATCATCTATAGCATCACATAACATCTCAGGGGTGACTCTGTTCTTCAGATATTCTATTACACCATTTTGATCGGCCAGCGACACCTTGATAGACTTTACACCAGGATTCTTTGAGATATTTCCCTCTATATTATTGACACATGAATGACATGTCATCCCTCTGATGTTAACTGTGACTGTCTTGGTATCTGACCCAGTATCCCCTGCAACTTTGGCTTCAAACCCCATATCGTCAATCATGTCTGCTATCCTCTCTGGTGTTGTAACTAGCTTGTTGTACTTGACCATTCCATTTTCTTTTTCAAGACTGACGCTGATTGAAATGATCCCTGATTTATCCTTTATATTACTTTCAATATTTCTTACACATGATTTACACGTCATGCCTTTAATAGAAATTTCACATTCAGATTCCGGGCCTCCAGATCGTGTTGAACTTCTCTCTGCAAGACGGTCAAATTCTTTATCAACTGAAGACTGTCTTGGAAAAGAGGCATCGAAACCCATATCATCAATAGCCTCTCTCAGTACCTCTGGGTTTGTATGGTCTGGGTTGTAAATAATAAAGGCTTCTTTGTCAGCAAGAGAAACTCTAATCTCATCAACACCCGGTTTGGTTTTAATGTTTGACTCAATGTTTCTAACACAAGACTGACAGGTCATTCCTTCAACCGTTATTCTTGTTATTAAAGATTTCGGCTGTTTTACAACATTTGCTTCAAATCCCATATCATCAATTGCTTCTGCAATCTGACTTTGAGATATTTTCACTGTATCGTACATGACTGTAGCTTTTTCGTTTTCTAATGAAACAGAAATCTGATTTACTCCATTTACTCGTGATATGCTACTTTCAATATTCCTCACACATGACATGCAGGTCATCCCCTTTACACTTATTTCCACACTATTTTCAGAGTTATCTGCCTTGGCATCTGTAGTTGCTGGATGGACAGTTTTAACTCTTGCAGGGAAACCCATTTCATCTATCTTTTCAGCAATAATGGGAGGTGAGATTTCTGTAGGACTGTATTTGATGACAGCCTCTTTTTTCTCTAAAATAACCTGTAAATATAGGAAAAGGCTTCTTTTATTAGATGGATATCAACCAATCAAATCTTTTATTAGATTTCTACATTAATGTTTAATCTTTATTTTTTATTTTTTTTTAAACTTGTGTCTTCCAAAAAACAGCAAAGAATTAGTTCAAATTCTAATTTTTTGGAGGTAAGCCGATTTATCATACAACCATTACAATCATGACAATAGTCACTGAAAGAACAAATGATACATGTACTTGAAAAATAATCGTATTTTATATGAGTTAGTATTCAGAATAAAAAAAAAACAACTTTACATAATTTGTATATGAATGGATCATTCTTTTTTTTTAAAACCGCTAAGTAAAATAAAATCTTTTTTCAAGGCAAATATACATTAATATAAAGCTCCAATAACAAATTAACTTTTGCCTCAAATTTAATCAGCGTCACAATATTAGTGTCGTCATTTGACATGACGAGTTTTTTGCTCATTGAAAGAACAAATGATACTTTAAAAATAAACATATTTTATATTACACAATATGAGAATATTAAGAAAAATAAATATACTACCTTCATTTTCATAGTTTATAAAATATATCCTTTCAAAAATGTTAAAAAACTTATATCATATTTGTCCTTAAAAATCAGGAAAAATGAAAACCACCAGATTCATGGGAAATTTTTAAGGGAAGAAATAAACTGATGACAAATGTCAATCTCTATGTAAATTTCATTGAAGGAAAGAAAACATGACGTTTTCCAGGTATGAACCTAATCAGAGCCTGTGCCCCAGGCTTTTTCTATGTCTTGTCAATGTAATATATGTCATATTTAATGGGTCAGATCTAAAAGAGAAAAACATTAAAAGGAAACAAAATTTATTTTTAATAAACTTTGATGGTCGATTTTTTAAATGCAACATACAAGTCAATAATACATTAATATGTATACTGCATTCTTTCATTTTAAATCTGTGACATCAATGAGATAATCTGAACCATAAAGAGATGTACTTATTCACTGGTTCCAATACACTGAAATTCTATCATGCAACAGGTCATCTGCAGACTCTACAAATTAAGAGTGTAATTTCAAGAGGTTTTTTTTATTTACGAAGACCATTGTTCTCTCTAAGCATGAAGTATCATATTCAAAAGTCCCCATTCTGACCAGAGGTTGCTATACATCAATCTAACAGGTCTTAATGCCAGACAATAATAGTCCAAATGACCATATTCCTATACCCCCAGTACACCCATGTTTACAAAAAATTGTCTCCAGTAGTCCAGTACTAATTTAAATAATGGTGTGCAAATAACTACTAACTGATTAACACTCATAAGCCATGTAATCTTCATGATTTATTTAATTTACATGTTGCAAAAATATTTTAATATTCCTTATAAAATAATGAAAAGTTGACATTTTCAAAAATCATTAAAGGTAACAAAAAAATCAATTTAAGAATGTTTGATGTTCAGAATAGAACTTAACTCTGACCTTTTCCTAGGCATTGCTAGGTAATTATGTATTGAACAAAATGGTCTAGAAACGTTTATTTTCTTTTTTTTTGTGTAAAACATACATCCTAAATATACTTTGGAAAAACAAATATTTTCAAAAAATCAAATTAATTCTTATTAATTCTACTACCCTTTTTATACAGTTTAAAATTCTTTCCATGATCCTGTACAAGAAGTCTAGAGGCATTCTTTCCTCACAAAAAATATATATATAATTTGTATAAACACATACACATATCAAATTTCTCAATAACTTTGATGTATGAACATTAGGCTTCATTTATCAAAACAATGTTATTTTAAATTTCCACAGGAAACATCCTTGTAATTTTTATCAATTGTCCTTAGGAACTTTGTGTTTTATTTATTAAATACACATGAAAAGTAGTCAACAGATGGGGATCCAGGATTTCGAAAAAGGGGGTTGACCAAAAAGACAAAGTTAGGAATGGCACTTGGAAAAGTCTATGCATTAACCCTATATGTAGCTCTATAAGGAGGGCTTAGGCTACCACACCCCCATCTAAATCTGTGGCCTCTCAATATTGAAATGACTGTTCCCTCTTTAATACAGAGGCTGAAAAGCCAAATTTCCAAACATAAGGGGGATTTCCCACATTGTGAGGTGCTTAACTGACTCTTACAATTCTGCATTATATAAAATGATTATCTCAAATCCAGCTGGCATTTATCATGTTTATAAGAGTCAAAATGACAATTCAGCACATTTGTACTCATTCAAAAGTTGACAACCATAGTGCAGTATAGAGATGCACTAGGTCCACTTAATTTCTCCCATCAAGATTTCAAGAAGTATGCAATAATTGGTTGCACCCTTTTTGACAATGAAACAAATTGGTAAATCCTGTTTCAGTTTGTGAGGGAAACAGGAAAGATAGCTGGTAACAGGTACAAATACAGACAAGAAGTCAAGTTACAAATGATACATTACAATATAATGTACACTGCAGGTAAACATTAAACTTATTTGTACAATCTTAAAAGAAACTTACAGAAATGGGATCAACAGACAAGAAACTTAAAAGAAACTTACAGAAATGGGATCAACAGACAATAAACTTAAAAGAAACTTACAGAAATGGGATCAACAGACAATAAACTTAAAAGAAACTTACAGAAATGGGATCAACAGACAATAAACTTAAAAGAAACTTACAGAAATGGGATCAACAGACAATAAACTTAAAAGAAACTTACAGAAATGGGATCAATAGACAATCTATATAGTAACAGGAATAACCACAAAAATTACCATTTTAAATAATTGCTTTACCTAAAGACAATATTAGATCAATATCAAGAAAAACATCAACATTGTATAAGACTTAGAAACTGGAGAAGGGCAGGTTTACAGGGCCCTTCAACATGTTCAACAATTTAGTAACAAAAACAAAAAAGTTGATATCTTTCTAACATTGAGCTACTATTGTTTTTATACTGCGGCTAAACATGGCTACGGTTATAGTTATTGAAATGTTTTCACAAAAACAAAACTTATTCCAATCCCTAACCAAGCCCCAGATTGTGAAGAAAAGTGACCTTAAATGAAAACCACATTGCACTAAATATCACTTTGTAACTATATTTGGTAAATAAATTAAAGACAACAGGTATTGTTCTAGCTGCAGTATAAATTAAGTTATGTGAATAGCAAAAGCAATAATATTGAAAACTTTAAAAATGGTTTGTTGTTGGAAAAGCAAATATTTTGCTAAAACTTAGTTTAATATTTACTGTAGATTCATATTTTTTCATGAAGTACCAATTTTTTTGGATTACAGTATATTTTTACCACGAATTCTAATGTTCAATGAAGTATAAATATTTAAAGGCTTGCATACAGACTTTGGCAAATTCATCAAATCAAATATCCATGAAAATAACATTTTTCTAAATCCACGTAAATTGGTATGATGAAAATGAATGAATCCACAATGCCATAAGTATTCTGGTGGCAAAGTTTGGTCCTACTTAATTGGTCCTGTTCATCTCAGAATATGTATCCCTTATTAAGTTTATAATAGCATTTGATGGGTTGACAGACAGATGTACTATAAACATAGCCACAACAATATATGACAAGTGATATTGGAAATAACTTTTCCAGGTAAGCAAATTGTAAACAATAAAATCATCATTTCATCCATTCATAATAATAATTTAATCTGTGTGAAAGGTTTCTATTGATTTTTAGTAATGTTTTAGAAGCATTTGTAAAAATAAGGCAATTTACAAGATAAAATACAGGCATAAAACAACACCATGAAGTTAAATGTAAGGTGCTCTATGATAGATGATTAGCAATGACAAATACTTTTTATTCTGCAAAAAATATTCTGTTGACAGCGCCAAAAAAGGGGAAATACATGTATTTATCATTACTATAGAATACAGTAATTGACCATTTCTAGAAAATCAACATTGAATTTGCATGTATAGAGCATAGCAGGACTATCACTCACATAAACAACTGTCAATCAAATTTTTGTTTTTAAAACATGTAAAAAATAAAGTTGAATTTACCGGAAGTTTACTATATCCCGATTTATTCTTAAATGCCATGTTGTTGATGGTAATCCACCTTTCTCCAGCACTGTCTGATAGGTAAAACAATGATCGGTGGTTATATGTGATGATTACACATACTGTCAGGATATGATGTATCTGTTCATACTAATCACATGTATTACAGATAACTTATGTATATAACTGATCACTTAATTGTCAACTTTTTTACTGTAATTTTCACTTTTATCTTGCCAAGGTATGTAACACTTTATATCTTTTAACATTACTTTTAAAACATCCTCATGGAAATGTGAAATATATATATAACAAATCTTGAAATGTCAATAAATTAGGGTTACAATAAATCCAAACTTTGACATTTCTTAACAATATATCCTTATAAAGAGAAGTGCTTTATCAAGTGTATAAAGTCCTATAAACAAAGTCTTATCTGCCCTTAGATAACGTTTAGCTACGTCATTTTACATGTAAAACTTTGTATTACACCATTAATAACACTGTTTACTGTTAGATGTCTTTGAAGGTAAGGTGTTTCTTCGAATTACTTAATCCAGGATATTACATGTATCAAATGACATATTATTTTGCATGTTAAATATGTTATGATTAAACAGCTGTTTATCTTCTGTTATATATCCTGTTAATATTTGTTTCTCAGGAAAGACTAATTACTTGTTCCTTTTACTCTAAAATATTTCAACAGATTTCTGAGGTGCACATTTCACATGAGCTGAAAAGTTCACAAATAAAATCAACACTTGTAAACGATAAACTGACTAATTAGCATAATTTCTATTAACCAATAACAATAAGTGTCAGTGAAACATGCCTATTAATTTTTTAAATACAAAAAAAATCTAATTTTCACAATTTGACATGTTTAATAACATTTCTTATTTCCTGAATACCTCCTGTGAATTTCCCTTAATGGTAAAATGTACGTTATATGAATGTAAAACATTAAATATAACATTACATCACGTCAAATAAGGTATTACTGACGGTTACAACCTAATACGTGAGAAATTAATATCCAGTTAATAACACATCAAATGTACCATATTTTTCTTTTCTGAAATAATAAGTGGTTTCATCAGGGGTTAAGATTTACTGATCAGATTATCATAACCTTACAGAAATCACATTTTCACCTAGTACAGTTTTTGTCACAAAATTTTTGAAGGTTAATATTCACATAAAAATCTGGCATATCTCTAAAAAAGAAAGTTTTTATTGGATTACCTTAAATCCTTGAATTGCACTAGTATAAGATGTGTTGCTTTTGAATGAAGGACCATCAATATGTTAACTAATTTAGCCTTTAGATGCAGAGGTATAAAATCTGTATGTCTAACCTATAGAAATTGTTTGACTTAAATTTACCTACTGGTTTTTTTTTACCACTGGGGAATCTTAGCTTTATTCTCATTATCGGTTTTGTAATCACTACTAGGGACTGCTAAAATTCCCATTTAAACCCATAAGATTATTAAAAGAGTCCCTCATCCCAACATCAATCCAAAGTGAATATTTAGACGAATATAGAGTAATTGTTTACTGACATAAGAGGTCTCTAAACACAGTAGCTCTAAATGGATTCTCAGGTATTACATATGCTCATCAAGTTCGGGTAATCGGAAAGTGAATATTTACTTCACAATGGGCATCATAGAACTTGCAGAATAAATCATGTGCTTTCTTTATTGTTTTGTTTTCAATTGCTTTATCTGGATGACTGCTATCCATAATAGCATGAAGAGAGTATTCAATCCTTTTCACTTGAAAAATTTTTGTGAGTTTTTAAGAGATTTGACCATGGTGTATCTGGACTTGTTATTAAGAAGGGGAAATAAGTGACAAATATATTTTTAAAACTAAAGGGATGGGAAATTTCAATTTAGAAAAAGACGTACATACACTATTTGAATAATTAAATTTTCTAGCAAATTTTTCAGTTGTTCAATTTTGGTAGAAAATTTACCATGTGAAGTAAAGTATTGAAAACCACCTGTATACAATGTTCTTAACCTCCTATTCAAAATTTAACATTGAAAATATATATTTTCTCCAAGTTTATAAAGATGTTGTTCTTGTATAGACCCTTATACCTTATATTTTTCCATTTATCTTTCTTATACAATTTTAGGTGTTTCATACAGAATTACTATATAGCTAAGAGACCTTTCTTTATCTGTTATACAATGTTAAATATATTTCAAAAAAGTATGTTTATTTATAAATACCTTTAACACTTTAAAGTTTTCACAGTTCTGAACAAGGCCTAGATATAATTTAACATTTGATACATGGGATAAAGAACATATCTATAAAATTTAAACTCAGGTCTATCTTTACCTGTTACACTTAGTACAACATTACAGGTAAACCTCCATTGTAGTACAGGTGCATTCTTTTAAGTTATGTAACAAGGATGTTAAACTTATAGAAAGAGTGCACTGAGATACCGGTACTCAAATGTTTGTTCATAATGAGCAAAATCTTTTAATAAAGAAGATAATTAGAAAAAAAACTGTCATTTCTATCAAATTTTTATATATAAAATCTTTATTTTAATTTCTAATATTATGACAAAAACTTTAATTTCAGCCAAGTATAAAAAAAATATGATGATTTTTGTTCAACCTCTAGCCAGTGAAAATCATTATAAATATATAAAAATTTGAGATTTTGTTGAGATTAACTTAAATATAAAAATTTGCAGGAAAAAAAGTTACATAAACCATTATTTCATCTTTAATTTCTAATAAAACTAGTACTACCTGGAGGAAAAATAGATTTGTTTAATGTGTAATGGGAGGTAACTTCTATCATACATCTTAAACATTACAGAGTTATCTCCCATGAATAAGACAGATGGGTAACCCTATGTTTAGACAATATAATAAATGATAATACCTGACATTAAATTCAAAATTTGATTTTTCTAAAAATTGTTACAATGTTTGATAAATATTGTGAGATAATAATGTATCTGGACTTCATTGTATACAATTATTTTAATGTTTGGGCTGATCAAGTCATAGAAATCTGTATTTGCTTACAAGAAACAAAAATTCTAATTTCCACCAATATCTTAACTGTATATGCTGTCAGCTGAATGAGTCTTTCTGTTGTCAACTATAGATTTTAAATCATCCAATTTAACCTACCTCTAAACTGTAAATTCCTTTCTCTTCAGCCAAACCAGCTTTGATGTTTTTCACACAACTCTGACATGTCATTCCATCTATCTCTAAGACTGCTGTCTTTTCCATTTCATCTGTACCTGAAATATGCAAAATGATGTGTATTAAAGCTTTACCTGAAATATGCAAAATTATATGTATTAAAGCTTTACTTAAAATATGCAAAAATTTAAAATGATACATGTATTAAAGATTTACCTAAAATATGCAAAATGATATATGTATTAAAGATTTACCTAAAATATGCAAAATGATATATGTATTAAAGATTTACCTAAAATATGCAAAATGATATATGTATTAAAGATTTACCTAAAATATGCAAAATGATATATGTATTAAAGATTTACCTAAAATATGCAAAATGATATATGTATTAAAGATTATCTTCAGCATCCTTATGTAATTCAAGCTGTGTCAATGTAATATAAAACTGACATTTCTAAGAATGACTTCAAAACAACTCAAAAGTGTCAAAAGAGTGACCAATTTAATACTTAATTTAGAGTCTGTTCATATAAAGGCCAGATGAACAATGTTCTAATCTGAACTAGAATTTTCTAAATTATATGATGCAACACAAATGGGAAATTCTTAAAATTCTATTTCAATTATAGGTACCCATAGATAAATTATGCCATTTTTTTTCCATCAATTCTTAATTAGAATAGATTTCAGTAACTCAACTAAGTAAACTAAAATAATATAGATATAAAGTCATTGTCAATCTGGACAAACTATAATTGCAAATTTCAAGAAAAACTTCAATACTACCCACAATTGTATGAGCCAAGGGAGTACAAAAACTTCAGTCTAATCCCATTATTAATATATTGATTCAGAAAAGGTCAACCAGTTTCAAAGGTGCGTTTACAGGGTACGATTTTTCATTCGATTTTCAATCCGATTTGATACCATTGCCCAGGTTCTGTTCATACAATACGATTTTCAATTCGACTAACCAAATGACATCCGATTTTAAAGTTCACATGGTTTGTAGCCTACAAAAGCAAGTGGATAGTGTGGGCTTGCTTTAGTAAGATTGCTTCAGAATATACTCATATTGACTGAGATTTTGGAGTCAACCAATTTCTACTCATCAGAGATTTTAATGTCTATAAACTAAGCCATGGAAAAACCCTAGGCCTACTCCATTTACTCTGTCATGTACAAAACAAAATGTAAGTAATCAACATTACCAGTATTAACTCCACATTAGAGTGCACTCTTATCAGATCTCTATCAATCAACACTTTCATTAAAATAACAAACTAACATTTATGACCAAAATTTTTTACCTTCTTTTACCCTGAACAATGAATCAAAAATAATGTCACTGTAATATCACTTATATGTGCATCCAGAATATTCTATGTGCTCTCAATCTGTTATGTAATTTTCTTGTTCAAATATTGTAACATCATATACATCCTGGTATAAGTTGTGTGTCTTGTTTCTGTTACTATAAATAACCATTTTTAAATAAACATTACCTAACAGTTTCTGCAGGTAATAAAGTCCAAAGTAAAACAACACCTTTTAATCTTGAACAGGTACCGTAAGAATGAAAACAACGTCTATTATTTTCAATAACAATTTTCATGTCCTACGTCCTACGAAATTTCAGCTGAAAATGTTTACCGGACTTAAAAGACTATCCAGTCTATTTATCTAAAAATATATCATATAACCACTTAACTAAACTGTGAATAGTACTTAAACTTACATCTTTTCCTTCTACTAGATTTAAATAAATTGTTTATCTTTAATATGTAAATTCATTCAGGTATACCCAGTACCCTTCCCACATCATTGTTTATAAACTTCAGACTTGACTGAAATACATTTACATATTATATTTGGATCAATATTTTGGTGGATTTATGCTGTTGGATTGTTGTATCATTGGCTTTAATTTACATTTCCTACAAATCCTTCATGTAGAATTCACTGGGATTAGATAGATTATCAACACTGATGTCAGGCATAATGCATTCTTATCATTTGTGTTTGTTATATCTTTTTTTTAGTACCAGTAATAGTACTAATACTTAACGTCACTTTTTATCACATACAGTTTACCAGTAATGAAAAAAATAAGAGCTCTATGATATCACATCCTAATTTTTTTACTGTTATGTTGTTAAGCACGTTAATTTATATAAGCCATATATATCCATGTAAGCTTCTAGATTATTTAAATAAATTTATTCTTAAAGGATATTATTTTAACATCATAGTAAAATCTTTGAATATTGTTTTTATCTGTACTAGCATTGATTTTGTTTGTGATAATATTAAAACATAACTAAATTAT